GTTTAACTGCACTTCTGCTCTCTCAAGAGTACCGTATGGGGCAGGAACTCACATTCCTCTCCCTCCAGAATAGTGTGTTAGGGTTGTGTTTATTCCAACAGGTCTGATCTTACTTTAGTGCCTGCTATTCTGCTGTCTCCCAAGGGCTTTGACAGTGTTTACCAGCAACCAGTCAGCTTTCATGAAGCACAGTTCATTTATTTAGAACAAAAGCATTACAGAGAAAATATACAATTAAACAATAAATGGTCTACATCCATGTTAAACGTACCAGGCGTTGCCCATCTTCCATATGGAGACCATGGTAGGTTTCAAAAATCCTTCAAACTCTTATAGCAGGGTTTTGTCCTCTTGGTTAAAGTCTCATGTCAGCTTGTGGATCAAGTGAGGGTCACAGAATCAGTTCAGGCTGACACTTCATACAGTGAGGGGTCTTTTTTTCCCCAGTCCTTCTGAAACAGATAAAACCAGTCAATGCTTCAAAGGGCTGGGTAGCTTTATAACCAGCACAGTGACTTTGCATTAATAAACCCCAAGGGATTCCCAGTTCCCCAAAACCACCCAGAGCCAGGAAGATAAAGACCTAGAACGTTTATCGATACGAAAGTCTTTGAATATTCCATGTGCCCCACAGGATCTGACATATCCAAATATAATAGTCTTTGAAGTTTCCATGCTTCTAGGGTTTCAGATCTATTGCTTCTTCCCATTAGAAGAGAGAGACGTTAACTCCTTCCTTCATCCTGGTGATTATGGGGGGGAGGGGAACGGAGTGTCTCATTCTTTCCTTTGAAAAAAAACAGACATTTCCCAGTTCTCCGCAGCAGGTACGTCATCTGCTTGGCAACTTGAATGGGGCTTGAGTGAACACTAATTCAACCAAATTAAGGCCAAAGCCTCAGCTCTCCCTTTCACTTTGAGGTAGTTCCCATTCTCAGCAACAAAATTTTCTTTACAACACTTATACTGTTCTAATTGGCAAATATGCACCAGACTCTACATATAGGTCTTATTTAACAAGCTCTCCTTGACTTCCAAAATTTCAAAAAGATTTTAAGGATCTTTTTTAAATATTTTGTTTACTGAGATATCACTGGCTACATTGGTCTCCACTCCTGAGTCAAACCAAGCTAATATTACAAACCACACTATCTTTCACCCCACCAAGTGGACTTAGTGATAAATGGTCGCTTAGACCAAAATCACAAATACTGAGGTTGTTTCCAGTCCTAACAGACCAGTCACTTACCCCAGATTAATTTGTATCTGAGATCACACACCAAAGAGAACACCTGTTGCCATTTCTATAATGAACTAATTAGAGTTTATTTACTAGGGGAAATAAAATTATTTATTTACAGATTAAAGCAAGCATATATACACAAGTGAGTTATCTATGATTCCCAAAGGTGACAGAGATGTGGTAATCTGTCTATTCAAGGCTCTGCCTCAGTTGAGACTCTCTAGCCCTGTGAGAGTTCAAACAGAAAAGAGATGAAAAATCTTCATGTCAGCTATTTTTGTTTCCATCTTCTATCATTAAAACCGATGGGACAAGGCCCTCTGCACATACTTCTCTATGGATGGATGACGCAATGAACAAATCTTTTGTCTTTTATAATTTCCCATTTAATTTCTGATAGTCCTCCTGGATGGATGGTGGGGGAGGGGGAATGATTCCCGTGGCTGGGTTCACAAGTTCAGAACAAACATTTTCAAAGCTACAAACCAAAATGTACATATTTCTTTATAGCATGGAATATAGACATTATAAATGAGATGAATGCATGCAGCAATTTACAGGCATCTGATAGTCTAAACATTAAATACATTCTTATATGACTAATACCTATTTTGAACAAAACTAACCTATAGGTGAGCTGGTTTCGTTTCCAGCCATGAGGTGGTCAGTTTTTAGCTAATGCCTATGGCCTTAGCCAGAGCTGGCATTTGGTTTACCAGCGTTACAATTAGCATTACAAATATTTTTTTATAGCAATAAGTTTAAATATCTGACCATCAAAATAGGGAGAAAGCTCCCTAAACAGGTTAAACACAGAAATTTAGTTGGCATAATTCAACTAAGGTTGAATAACCACATATTACAAATTTTGCCATACATTAATTTATGAAATTCACTGTTGCTGGATATTGTTGAAGTAACTTGCTTAGGAAGATTGAAAGAAGAATTAGATGCTTGGTAAGAACAGTGCTGGCAGTTACAGTCGTGTGGAAAAAAAATTAGGATGATCAGTTCTCATGCTATAGGGTGAACACTTCTTGAGATAGACGACAGTTAGAGAAACCTTACACGCACACACACCATGCTATTGTGTTGCACAGTGGCTAAGAAGAAAAGGAGTTTACTTGTGGCACCTTAGAGACTAACCAATTTATTTGAAAAAAGAAAAGGAGTACTTGTGGCACCTTAGAGACTAACCAATTTATTTGAGCATGAGCTTTCGTGAGCCACAGCTCACTTCATCAGATGTGTACCGTGGAAAAGATGTACACTTCATCAGATGTGTACCCAGGAAAGGGGGGTGCAAGTGTTGGGAGGATTGTTCATTGTTCTTAAGATCCAAGGGTCTGGGTCTGTAGTCACCTAGGCAAATTGGTGAGGCTTTTTACCAAACCTTGTCCAGGAAGTGGGGTGCAAGGTTTTGGGGAAGTATTTTGGGGGGAAAGACGCGTCCAAACAGCTCTTCCCCAGTAACCAGTATTAGTTTGGTGGTGGTAGCGGCCATTCCAAGGATAACGGGTGTAATATTTTGTACCTTGGGGAAGTTTTGACCTAAGCTGGTAAAGATAAGCTTAGGGGGTTTTTTCATGCAGGTCCCCACATCTGTACCCTAGAGTTCAGAGTGGGGGAGGAACCTTGGTGAGCTGTGGCTCACGAAAGCTCATGCTCAAATAAATTGGTTAGTCTCTAAGGTGCCACAAGTACTCCTTTTCTTTTTGCGAATACAGACTAACACGGCTGTTCCTCTGAAACCAATTTATTTGAGCATAAGCTTTCGTGAGCTACAGCTCATTTCATCAGATGCATTCAGTAATGCATCCGATGAAGTGAGCTGTAGCTCATGAAAGGTTATGCTCAAATAAATTGGTTAGTCTCTAGGGTGCCACAAGTAAACTCCTTTTCTTTTTGCGAATACAGACTAACACGGCTGCTACTCCGAAACAGTGGCTAAGGTGCTCTGTTTTCCCCTCTTTTACTGAGAAAATTGATGGAGATCACTGCTTGAGACAGTATACTCAAGTACAATATTTGGGTCATTGTGCTGTTCCAGTAATTCTTCTGTTCGTGAGCTAGATGATCCTACTGATTTAATTCACTGCTTGTCATCTGGGTTCTCTTGTTGCTTTCTAAGCAAAAGAAAAGAGTACTATAGTATGTTGGAATGGTTGTTCATGTCGTGAGTAAATGAATCCTATTTGTGCATGCACTATTTTACATCATAATTTTATGACCCCCAAATTACAGTATTTTGTAGATTTTATTGTTTGTTTGCACACCCAAAACTTCCCTTGGTTCCATGAAGTTCTAAAATTCTTTTGAATTTCTATGCCATTTTCGACTTTTATTTTTGCCATGGAGAAAGGAAATTCTCTGGCAGTTTGAGAACTGTATGCAGTCACTTGAATTGTATACATTTCTTCATCAAAATGTGTTTAACATTTAGGAATATTTGAATAAAAATATATTTAAGATATTATTATGTAATCAACCTATAGGAAAATAATTAGCCTTACTTTGAGCATATGTTACTTGTTGGAAATTGGGTTTTGTTCTTTCAGAATTACTAGTTCAGTAAAAATAAACTTGTTTCTGGGGATAACTACCATAAGCATTTGGTGTTAACATCTCTGGAATGAATGATTTTTCAGAGGTTCTTAGTGCTCTATCTATGTGAGTGGCTGGTGAGGTCAGCACCTTTTGAAAATCAGGCCAGGAACGATGGGGTCAGATCATATGTAATAAGAAGTCCCAGAAATAGCATTTTTAGTGGTTCAAAATGTGGTTCCCTTACTGTTGGTACCGCTTGAAAGATGGTGGCTCCACCATGTGTTTGGCCTTTGAGATTTTTCCAATGGCAAATTTGGGCGAAGAATCACATTGTATACCATATCTGCCATTTGCTTGTCTGGTAGGACTACTTAAACATTAGAACTGCTCAAAAGCGAATGCCATTATCAGAGATGGAATTAAAAACATAAGGAAATACCCAACATAAACAAAACCCAGGAAAAAGTAAACAGCAGTATGAGAAAATGGACCCAGGTTAAAGGTTTCCCTCCCCTAGCACAGTCTACTCTACAGCTCTTTTTCCACACCATGAGTTTGAAGCAAAGAGGACTTCATTTAAATATTGGGTATCCAGGTGGGTTTTAGGAATTATCTATGAATTTATCGTTCTGTATGAGAAATGAACTGTGGAAAGAGTTGGGGAGGACATAAGATCTTGCCTGAAATGTTGTGGTTGCAACATGCGTCCGACCCTCGCATGGTTGTAGTTGTGCTATGAAGTACAGGTGGCTGACCTGCCTTGTTGTCATAACTGTTTTGCTTTTCACACTTGACATTTCCTCTTAGAAAGTCCTGAACTTCTTTTTTTTTTGTGCTCTTCTCCTTTGTACTACTTAAACCCAACTTTGTTCAGAAGTTAAAATTGTCCTAACTACCTGCCAAACAATTTAGAGGAGCGTTCTGCAGTGTCTTAGATGCTCTTATTGCACTATAACTCACTGAAAAGGTCCACCTTTTACAACCACTGAGGTACTGTATTCATCTTTAAAATAAATCAGCTATGTGTTTCTTAAGATAAGATTGCCAATTTTTTAAAAGGGGGAACATAGAAGAATTGTTTTAACCTATGAATGTGTTCTTAAAGTGAACAAATTCTACAGTTTGTAATCCATGTGTGTAGGTTAAATCTTGCGCTCATACTGTTTTTTGTCTTTGTTTTAAATCTCCTCTGTGCTTATCCTTGTTGCAGGACCCCAATAAGAATATAAACACAAACAGCAGCAGCAGTAGTAACAGTTTTTCAAAGCCCCATAAATTAACAAAGGAGCACAAGGAAAAACCGTCTAAAGACTCAAAAGAACATAAAAGTGCCTTCAAAGAACCTTCCAGGGAACACAACAAATCTTCCAAAGAATCCTCTAAGAAACCCAAAGAAAACAAACCACTGAAAGATGAAAAAATTGTTCCTAAGATGGCCTTCAAGGAACCCAAACCCATGTCCAAGGAGCCAAAATCTGAAAATAGCATCCTTACTATAACAGGTGGACAGCAGCAAGAAAAGAAGGCCCCTACAAAAAGGGCCCCCACTACAGATTCTGAGGAACTTACTGCCAAAAAAAGGAAAAAAAGTAGTTCGGAGGCTTTATTTCGAAGTTTTTCTAGTGCTCCCTCCCTGATACTTACTTGTTCTGCTGACAAAAAACAAATAAGGGATAAATCTCAGCTTAAGATGGGGAAGGTCAAACTGGAAAGTGAGACACTGGAGAAGAAAAAAGCAACTTTACCACCATTTGATGATATTGTGGATCCCAATGATTCTGACATGGAAGAAAACATGTCCTCCAAATCTGAAGTAAGTGTGTCTTGTTTTTGTTTCCATGTTTTGGGTTGTGTTCTGTATTTTTCTTCCTTGTTTTTATTTCTTTCAGGCAACTTTGTTATATCTGTGGATTCTAAATGGGCTTTTAGATCTTTTGTAAATTGTGCAAAATCATAGATGTTAACTATTGACTATTTGAATGTTCAGATGTTTTGGTTGTATTTTCATTTGGCTCATCAATCTGTTGACATTATAGATTGTTTACTTGCTTTATGGGAAATGTCTGGAATTAACAATGCCCTATCAATTTATTCCCCTTCCAAAGAAACTAATTTCACCTTTTGTGAAAGATTGGGTTGTAAGGGTTTTTTCATGCTCTGTGATGAGGATTTGTATTAAGAGGCAAAAAAAAACCTCTGTGGTTGGTTCTATTAGTTACTAAGATATGAATAAAATATTAGTTCTATTAGTTACTGAGATGGGAATAAAAGAAATGTTAAAGAATAATAGCTGCCCATATGCTGTTTTCAGAGGGCAAGTGTATGGTGCAGTAATCTACGCACATGCCCTTCTACAAATAACAATGTTGAGAACACTCGCGTCCTGATTAAAGCACAGCTTTTTGTAACCGATTTTTTTTTCCTCCATGGGGAAAATAGCTCTATAATGAGCCACTGAAGATTGTTGTGTTTTCACTGAAAGGATATTGCTATAAGAAGTTATATAATAGTGTTATATAACAGTACTAGAGAGACAGCCACTTCAGTATCAATAGGCATTCCTGGGTTGGGGTAGAGGGAATGGTAACTACTAGTGCTCCTCTTCTTACCTTCTACCACTCCCAAAAGTGCAGAAATCGTTGCTTCTTGCTAGCTTTTGTTTGCACTCTTGCATGATACTTGAGTTATAGCACTTGGGCCACTAGAGAGCTGTTGGTAGTAAATATTTATATTCCAGCAGCACCCGGAAACCACAATCAGAATCAGAGGGAGATGTTGAGGGAGACTAAGTCTCTGCCCCAAAGAGTTTACATAGTGACAACAGAAGTAACATACAAAGACTGGGTAGGGAGGGAGACAATTAAATATATACATTTTATATATGCAGTATATTGGTATATTTCTATATTCATATTTGCAACCTAGTTTTTTTTTAGTTTTTTTTTAATTACAGAAATAGCAGTATTTTCCAACTGCCCTGAGTCTTGCCATTTAACACTGGCTACTTTCTTGTAGTTGTCACAGCTGAAGTTGGCCTGGAGAAGGGATTAAAAGGAGGAATGATCAGATCACATATCAAGGAGAACAATCCACACGTAACGGGTGGTGTTGAAGTAAGGATGAAGATGTTTGTGGGAATGAGCAGACAAGTGGGTGGTCACGGTTGGTGTCTTTGGCTGAAGAGAATGGCTGTGAGTAACAAAAACAAGTGGATAAGGTCAGAGGGACAGAGTCTGAAGGGTCTTGAAGGTCCGGCAGAGAAACTTGAACTTGATATAGTGGAAGAAGCAGAGCCAGTGGAGGGATTTAAAGAGGGCAGTGGTTGGAGAGACTGTCTTCAGTAGCGTCATTTGATATGGACCAGAGAGTGAACTGAGTGTTGAGGAGGAGGTTACAGTAATCAAAGCAGGAGATAAAAGTTTCATCTGTGGGCAGGGAGGATAGGAAGGATATTATGGAAGAAGCAGCAGTAAGATTTGGAAACAGCCTAGATATATGGGGTGAGAAAGAGAGAGAGAGTCAAAGATGACTCCAAACTTACAGTCTTGAGAGACCGGAAGAATGACACTGTTGTCAACAGTGACCCAGAAGAGGGCTCTGGAGGAAAGATAGGGAAGTTCCATTTTGGCCAAGCAAAGCTGAAGTTGAGTGGAAGGCATCCAGAAGGTAATGGCGAGACAGCTGAGATGTGGCTATAGCGACAAAGATTGGGAGTGAAAAAACAACTTTGTGAGTGACTTATGTTTTCGCTTTTTAAAAGCTGATGAATATGAACTGCTGCAGTAATTCATGGATTTATTTACATGGAATCATTTGTATTAGATGTGAAGTGGATTTATATGCTCACCACAATGAAGGGGTGTTTTTTGGTTACAGTTAGCCATATATTAGTCGCCGGTTACTTTGTTTTAAAATGATATGCCAGTTGGTTTATATACTGATAATTTATGGACATTTGGGTATCTTTTGCTTGTCAAAGAGTTTGGAATCATATAACCTATATCATCCCCAGAATTGTACATTAACATCTCTAGAAACTCCAAAATGGAAGGAAGACAAGTAAATCATAGCAAACTTTTAGCTGTTCAATACAGCTCAAAGCATGAGCTATTTTTTGTTGTTGGCTGTATTTTTATATTTGGTGAATGGGAATAAATCTTTTTTTTTTTTTTTTTCCTAAGAGACAGGGCATGGCAAGTGTAATTATTAGCGTCTGAGAGTACTGTACAGCAGTTTCGTGGTAACTCTGTACACTTGAGTCCATTGGTAATGCTCGTGGCCAGGATAGCATGATTAATATATATGATCTTCGTGAAGATTTGGTGTCCATGCTTTCTTGGTGGGGAGTGGGCAGGAGAGCACTGCTCAGATGAACTGATAAAGAAGAGGTCTAGTAGTCTGACTCATTTTGAAGTGTCTGAGGCAATCCGTTTGTTTTGTGCTTTCCAGTGAGAGGAGATAATGCTGGAATATTTCTGCACGTAAATAGTTAGGCCACCATTTATAAAGTATTTATGTTTCTGATCCCAGATTAGTGATGTGCTGTCAAAACTCCAAAAAGGAGCATCCTCAAAAACTGTCTATGTCAACTGCTGCTTTGTGTTACCGTCCATGGGCAAAATACGACCCAAGTCCCAATTTCTCGGCCAAAATCCATTAGTCCTTTCTCCCGCTACCACCCAAACCCCTAGCCATTCGTCCTTCAACCTTTGACCCACCACTCTTGAACCCATTCCCTAGCATCGTATAGAGGATCCTAAATAATCCTTCCAGCTAGTAGATGTTCTACAGCAGTAGGAGTGGTGGTGGCAGGCGGGTTGTCCCGCAGCTTATCTGTAGGGTGGTTGGTTGGCTGAGTAGTGGATTGTCTTCACCTCACTATCTGAGAGGGAAGAGCTCTGTAAACGGAGGAAAGGAGAAGAGAGAGGAGAAAGAAGAGCTTCCCCTTTGCTCTCCCTTACTCTAGCACTGTTCCTTTTGGTTTTTGAGATAGGCCAGTGTCCCCTGAGTGCTAGCGGTTTTCCCTTGCATTACATTGTTTTTGTTTTTACACTTCTGAAATGCTTATGTGCATGTCTGGATTTTTGTATGCCTCTAACATGTATAGTATAGTGATCCAACAAGAACTAGGGGTCACCAAACGAAATTAATAGGCAGCAGGTTTGAAACAAACAAAAGGAAGTATTTTTTCATACAATGCATAGTCAACCTGTGGAACTCCTTGCCAGAGGATGTTGTAAAGGCCAAGACTATAACAGGGTTCAAAAAAGAACTGGATAAATTCATGGAGGATAGGTCCATCAACGGATATTAGCCAAGATGGGCAGGGATGGTGTCCCTAGCCTCTGTTAGCCAGAAGCTGGGAATGGGTGATAAGGAATGGATCCCTTGATGGTTACCTGTTCTGTTCATTCCCTCTAGGGCACCTGGCATTGGCCGCTGTCAGAAGATACTGGGATAGATGGATCTTTGGTCTGACCCAGTATGGCCCTTCTTATGTAATTCTCATTCTATTTAGGATGTTTGTATAATTTTTTCTAATAGATATTTGAAGAAATAAAATGTTAATTAGTTTAGAGTAGGAGAAATGAGAGATAATTGCAAAATCCAAGCAGAAACCATTTTTTTAAAAAAGGGTTCCTTAATCTATCCTGAATTATTTTCAAGGATCATTCCTCTTTAGAAGAAAACTAACCTAGAACGGTGAAGTGACCTAAGAGTAATTTTTTAAAAAAAAAAAAAAGCTGGGTATTTTTTCTGAAAACTTTTGCCTAGCTTGCACACTCATCTGTTTATAAATGCAAATTGCCTCCTGAGATGAGTTTTAATTAATTCTCTTAGCAGACTTGATCTGTGATAGCATCTTCTATGGGGAGATGGGTGGAGGCAGGGAGAGGGGAATTAAAATACTCCCTAAAGGTTGTAGAGGAATCTCAGTGGATATCGGCACTGTGTGTAGGGGTGGAGGTGCTGGTTAGTGTGGAAAGGAACTCTTCAAACCACCCGAGTAGAATTTTTATTTTAACTCTCCTTCTAGCCTGTTGAATGCCTCCTCTGCCCCACCCTATTCATAGCCCTGTTTAAACTGTGTGCAACTGGCAATAAATATCCCCCTGTGGAGGCATCAGCTTTTGATTTTCAGGGGATGGAAGCTTGTCACAAGCAGAGAAGGTCTTTATTTTATCTCTAAAGTGGCGTTTTAATGACTGTTCCCCTAGTGCGTGCAAAGGCTGTAAAACTTGGAAGGTACATAGTTGAACAGAATCCTCTTTATAGCATGTCACTGGCAATGTTACAGCTATGGTTGAGATGGCATTTTCATGCTAAATCCTTGTTGCCAGTGACTTCATAACTTTCTGAAAAAAAATTACCCGTAAGGCTGAAATTTCTCATGCTTGTTGTCAGCCTTGAGGTGAATTAATTTTAACATGTTAAGAGAAGATGCAGCATTGTTAAGACAGCAGTTACCTAGAGCTTCACAGATAAACTGAAATCATTTCAAAAGTTCAAATTCTGCAGGCATAAGCCTTTACTTCGGGCACGTAGCATTATTATTTGACTCTTCAGTCAGTCGGTTTTCCATTTTTCCCCGTAAGAGAAGAATTTAAGGCAAAAAGGAAGGCTACTGCAACACGAGTTGGGATTGTAAAGGTACAGAAATCAAGGAAATGTGTGCTACTTCGGGAGCTCTATAGCCCAATTTATGTAGAATGGGAACTGGGGATTTCTGACACTATTATGAGCATTTAGAGTTTATGGTGCTTAATGATTCTTAATGTGTGTTCTGTAACTTAGCTGCTGTGATCCTACTGC